ATTAGGGAAAAAAGTTAATCCCTTGATTCGGCCAGACCTATTATTATATTATTGACTTATTGAAAAAGACTTGAGTGCCCTTCTTTAAGTAAGAGGCACTCGAACTAACATAACAGTACACATCAGCATTCTCAACAAGTACAAAGACTGAAATACCCCTTCACTAACACCACTAACAGTACCTTTTTCCCATCTTGACTTTTGACAGTATTTTACATTTATGTGTTTCTTAACTATAAAAGGATAATATTCTTACATGTTACCTCTTAGTTCTACTTGTGGGTTTTCTCAAGATGAATGGAACTCTAGAGTATTTTCTGTTCCATTTGTTATTTTACTTGTTTATATATATATATATATATATATATATATATATATATATATATTTGGTATTCTATGTATATATATTTTTAAGATTGCAGTACTGATAGTTTGCCTATAATTTTCATACTAACCTAGTTGGAATTTGGAAATGCTATTTGCTCTTGGTGTTGGTAATGGTGATGGTTGGGTTCCAGTACATTTTTTGGAGGAAATTTTGAATGTCAAAATAATTGAGGCAGCATGATAACATATTAGGATGTCGGTATCATGCTCATATCATATTGTGCTCTCCTGTTCTTAACTATATTGGCACAAATATACATGTTATTGTTTTGAAGTCAATGTCCTTTTTATGCATATATTCTATTTTGGCAAAAAGAAAAAAAGAAATCTTTTCAGACCAAAATCTTCTACTGTCTTTCTGCTGTCTATTCTCTAGTTGCTTGAGTTCCTTAATGGTCATTGTACTAGGAACCCTTCCCATCAAATGCCTATATTCTGGCAGTGTTGGTTGGCTTCTTGCTGTTAGAATTGGGCATTGGATTCTGAACAAAATATGAATTGGAGGAATCTACAAAGGCTTTAGTTGAGACAGCCAGAGCAGGATAAGATGATTAGTGCAATCTCAATGTTGCAGAAGACAGACCATAAATAAGCCTTCTTGAGTAAAGCTGTTGCTTTGCTTACAGAAGTGACTTGGCTTTTGTGGTGTTCTCATTACTCTTGGCGTCCATCTTTCCCTTTCCTTTTTCCCTTTTCTGGTGGAGGTCTTCCATTGCTTTCTTAGAAAATGAAGGGTGAAGACTGCAGAGGAAATGAAAGGAAGAAGATAAAGGAAAGAAAACCTTTCTCTCTTGACACTTCCTCTTCTTTTCAGTGATTGATACTGCTGTGCAGAGACAAGATGCAGAAAAATAGAAGGAATTTTTCTAGCATATTGATACTTATGGACTTAAAATGAACCCTCCACTCATTATCATGATCATTATCATCGTCATCCAAGTTACCCCTCCCTTGCCCCAACTATTTTCCCTATATTTGGTTATTCTTAAATTGTTATTCGTGTTGCTTGAATCAAGTCTTTAATTTCGACATGCTTTCCTGGTTGAACACAACCATGATTTCATTCTTTGCAAGGTTCAATTAAAAATAAAATAAAAATCAATCAAACTATTCACTTGAACCAGAAGGTGTGTATTGTATTTTTTTTTAAATTATACTATACAAATATGACCTGGAAAGATATACGAATTGAAAAATGAACTTAGCTTCAAAAACCAGATATAAAAGCACTGTATAACATTCAAACAGGATACCTGTACCCATGTCCATGTTAGGAAACTTAGAATCTAATCAGTTGATAGGAGGGGAGCTGGGATTGATGGGAGGGTTCTACTGGAAGGCAATTCATGCAGTGATGTGGGGCATATGGGAAGCCCCTCCTAATCAGTTGATAGGAGGGGAGCTGGGATTGAGGGGAGGGTTCTACTGGAAGGCAATTCATGCAGTGATGTGGGGCATATGGGAAGAATCCAATAGAAGAATTTTTTAAAATAAAAGTACATCCTTGGATGATCTGAAAAGACATATCCTTTGTTAAACTCTTGCAGTTTGGTGGAACACTGAGAAACTGTGGTGAAGCTAAGGCTGGAATTGGGGGAGTTATCTTGAGTGCTGATGGATTTCTGGTCTGGGCTTTTAGTAGTGCTGTCACTGCTAGGGATGTTTCTGAAGCTGAAGTAGGGTATCAGATTTGCTAAACATCTGCTCTCTGGTTTGCTGCTTGTGGAAAGGGATTGTAGAATAGTGATTGGTTGGGCAACAAATTTTGAGACAGGTCCTTGGAGGATGGCTCGTTTCCTTCATGAGATTCATGATATTTCAACTTCCCTTGGCTGCTGCTTTAGATGGATTCCAAGAACTCTGAATGAAGTAGCTGACCATTTAGCTAATAATGGTCAGGAGAGAAACTTTTTTGTGTAGTGTTAACAGCTTAAATTTGTCTTGAGTGGGCTTTTGGCTTTTTGTATCAAAGCCCTGCCCAGTGCCCCCCCTTTTTGTATATCCTCTCTTGTTTCTTGTTTTTGCTCTCCATCTTTTGGATATATTAGTAACCTTTTCTAAAAGAAATCTAGAATCTAATCCCTGTTTCTCCAATCCATGTCCAAGTTCCAGATTCTGTAGGAAATTTCATTTGTATTTTGAACCTGAATTGAATTGTATAGGCTTCTTATGATGGTTGGTCTCAAATGGTTAACCTGCAATTCCACCAATCTATCTTCATTTCCTTTCCATCTTCAGGATTAATAGAATTTAGTTATGTGTAAATCTTTTGTACTGCAGGGTTATGCACTGCTCTGCGTGGGCTTCCCATCTTCTGATGTTGAAGTTGAAACCCAAGATGAGGATGAGGTAACATCCAAATAAAGGCAAAACTCTCTTCAAAGAAAACATTAACAAGATTATTTGATATTTTTATTTGTATTGACCCATCTCTTGTTATTTGGAGTAATACAACATTGAATTCCTATTTTCTACAGGTATATTGGCTTCAATTTGGAAGATATTTTGCTCGAGGACCAATTGTAAGACCTGCAATATTTTACCTGACAATAAAGAAATGTTCTTGATTTGAATGAACAGCCTAACTTTTACCAATTCTCTTTCTTCAATCTGTGATGTTGCAGGAAAGGGATGATTATGCACTGGAGTTGGCCATGGGTGATGAATAAGTAATTTGCCTAGACAGTTAGATGTAAGGATCTCTGCAGTGTAGCAAGAAGAGTTGTTTCACATGTTCTATTCTCTTTTTCTTGTATTCATTATAGGGAAGAGCAGATATTCCTGTTTTTCCACCAGAGGCCAACATGTGGAATCAATGCTGTTATACTAGAATCTAATCGGTTACCCAAACACAACTCTCTTTTGTTAATAACTAAATCAATAACTTGGAATGCGCCATCTCTACATTGATCATTCATCTTTATTTTAGCTGCCATACTTGCATCTGGTGGAATTGATGCTGTTATACTAGAATCTAAATGGTTACCCAAACACAACTCTCTTTTGTTAATAACTAAATCAGTAACTTGAAATGCACCGTCTCTACATTGATCATTCATCTTTATTTTAGCTGCCATACTTGCATCTGGTGCAAGTGAACCTGATCTTCATACACAAGAGCCTTTGATCTAGTAATGAAAGAATGGTATTTTAAGCATTTTGTATATGAACTAGATTACTTTATGAATTCCTGGATTAGTAATTGAACACTTCATATTCAGCAAATTCCTAATGGGCTAGACTGACAAGAGGAGCTTTGTGGTCTGACCCCAAAACCAACCCTCTTATTAATGAGGTTCAATGGGTCTGACCTGATAATACTTGAAAAGCCTTTTGCTTGGTGACTTGATGATAAACCTACAATATCTGTTGCTCTCTTCTCAAAGATCTAGTGGAGGCCATAAAGATAAAAGTTGCACACTGGGTGAAATCACTCAATCTCTTTCAAAATTTCTTAATTACTGGTACTGATCAAAAAAAAAAAAAAAACAAAATTTCTCAATTACTGAGATAGTGAGAGCATGGAATGAAGTGACACACTGCTGAGAAGAAAGAAAGGTGATGGGAGTGGAAGCCCCCAGGTCCCAACAAAATTATGCTGAGCTTTGATGGGAGCTCTATAGGAAACCCGGGTATGGCAGGCATTGGTGGTGTGATCAGAGATTCCTCAAGCAAAGTTTTGGCTATGTACCCAAGACCTTTAGGGGAAGGTGATTCGTTAAAAGCTAAACTATTAGCTCTGCTACAAGGGTTAAAACTTGCTAAGTAAGCAGATCTTAAGAACTTGGAGATAGAAGGGGACTCAAAAGTAGTGATATCTTGAACCAATTCAAGTTGTAATGTCCCTTCGATCTATAGACATCTGTTAAGGGATAGTAAGCATAGCAAGGGAATTTAATGCCTCGTTCACATAGATCAGGAGAACTGCAAATGGAATGGTTGATTCTCTAGCCAAACAAGGAGTTCAAACTTCGAAGGCAACAGATTTTTTGGGCTTTATTATAACAATTTATGGTGCAATGTCTGCTTTCTAATTGCTGTAATTCTGTATGTAATTCTATTAATTGAATAAAATTCTCATTTTTCTGATTAAAAAAATCATCTTATAGATCTTATTGATGATGGAAATGGCTAAAAACACAAAGAATACAAAAGAAAGGGGGATTTAACATTCGTGAAGCGACCACTATAGTTCCTTCTTCATGGGTTCATTCTCGATTAGAATGGCCTAATCTTTAACATATTTCCGATGAATCGAGGTTTTGCGGTAGGTTTTAGGAAGATCTGGAGATCCAGAGATCTTTTCCACTGGTTGTGAAGAACTCAGAGCAGTTGAGCTGGTAGGTTTGATGGCTGCAAAACTTAAGATGAGGGAATCAGATATAGAGGATTATTTTCTGATAAGGCTCAGTTTGGAAGGAGTACAAATACAAATGTGTAGTGTGCAAAACCTTGTATTTTGTATTATTTTGTATATATTTGTACTGTATATATTTGTATTTGTACTCCTTCCAAAGCATAAAGAAAGATGGGCAATTTGAACTCCAAAGGAGCAAAACTGCAAGTATGTTAATTCAAGGTTTACAAGTTTGTTTGTCCACGGCGGAGGTTTCAGACATTCACTTTTGAGAAGAAAGAGTGGAGGCGGTTGAGTTTCAGGCCCATCTTTACCTTTGTCTCTGGAAGTTGCAGGGGAAGATACTCAAACGACCTGGTCAACTTTTGCCAGTGGTCAAATACAATATCCACTGCAAATATGCAAATATATATAACTAAACAAAAACCTTACAAAATTACCTTGCAAATGTTACTGTTTTACAATTTAAGTAGATTTATAGCTTTTACCAATTGGTGTCAATTAGATCTCTCTTAAAAACAAAAACCATCTGTTGATGGTTTTGAAGACATTGACGATGAGACTAGGAATGGATTTGGAGTTTGTTAGCAGCAACAAGACCATCAAATGGTTGATGGACACAAATTTTCAGAATGGCTATAGGAGGGAAGCTGCTTGCAATTAATTTACGTACCTTAGATACATGCAAAGTTGCTAAACGGTGATGAACTTTCTGATATGAAGACTTGATTCTAATGGTTTCTCTGCATACAAAAACTGCCTCGAGAAGCCGACCAATGCTCATCAATTCGACGCTCTTCTCTTGTTGCTCCGGTAAGATGCCTTATCAGAAAGCAACTCATGGCAGAACAATGCAACTCCGGTAAGATGCCTTAATTTGAAAATTTGAAGAATAATCAAGGACATTTTTGTCTTTTAATTTGTTCCACGATGTTAACGGTAAAAATGTTTCTCCAAAATTTAAAGAACATTTAAGGGCAAAGGAGGTTCTAGTATTTATCGGAAACCTGGGGGGAGCTTTAAGTCTTTTTACCTTAGACCGAATGCTCGTACGTGCCGCTTCCGTTATTTATCGCCCTGTCTTCCTGACAAAAACTCCCGCGAAGCTGAAAAATCTTATCCTCCTTCTGCTTCGCTTCAGTTCTGTAAAAGGAGAAAATCACTGCAAACCTGAACGATGCTTGCCCAAGCTCCTCCAGACCTCCCAAAATTCCTCAAGTTTAGAGCCAAACCCGCCCAAACCCCTGCACTTTTCGAGCTCTTCAATGCTGTTTCGGTTAGACACAGTCGTCGATGCTGCAGTTTCAGTTGGAGCAAAACGACATGTAAATCCGTCAGGTTTTGTGTTAGAGCGGGATATACTAGGAAGCCAATGGGGGCTCCAGGAGCGTATCAGCTTATCGACGATGACACGGGAGAAAGATTCATTGTTTGGGGTGACGATGACTCGCCCATTCCTTCCAAAGAAGTTCTCTCCTGGAAACCCAGCAGCGATGACAACAAAGGAAGTAAGTTTGAATTTCTGCCTTTTCTTTCTTTTTTTTGATGGGATTTCTTATATGGTTTTTTCGATTTTTGATTTTTTCCCACGTGGGTAGTTTTAGATTTTTGAGGTGAATCTCTACGTATCTTAACCGAACTCGGTTACTCTGCTGAAATTGAGGGAATTGTTCGTTCTTTTCCTTTAAAAGAAAGAAACAAAAACCATTGAAGTAAAACGAAGACTTTCTCCCAACTTGCATGGCTGAAAACTAACCGTGTGCCTATAATTTAGATGAGAGTGAATCAGTTTTTAAAATGTCTCTACTTGTGTTTCATTTGATGAGTAGTTGAGGGATGATAGTAGTAGGAAGTTGATGCTAACAAATTGTGTTAATCTAAGACTTAAATATTTCGCAACACTACAGCATCAGACAATATGACTCAGTTCATAATGGTCGTAAATAGTGATACCAGGCAGCATTGGATTCTGATTCCTGCAAGGCTGCAAGTTGGGTTGCTCAATTTGAAGAATTTCAGTTACATTGGGCTCAAGTTAGTATTCAGCTAAGATTTCTGGCGACAGAGAAGACCAAAGGGAGTTTTTTTTTTTTTTTTAATTTATATCAGCAGAAGACCAAAGGGAGTTTGTAACGAAAAGAAACAATGGTGGGACTATCTTGAATGGTGTTAGTACTATGATTGGAGGTAAGTGTTTCAGCAAGGGATCGACTTTGGCTAAATTTTCTGGTGACAGAGCAGATTCAAGGGAGAAGCTTTTGCCAAAGGTATGCAAAGAGAACATTTCCAAAGTAGATGTGGATGCGGCAGAAGTTTCAAGGGATGTGTGCTTATGTTTCAATGACAATACTGCAGAAGGGAGGAGGAAGTGAGAGCGGTTGTGAAGCGCCTACCTATTGTGAGAGATAGGTTGGTGGATTTGAAGGAGGGCTGGTCGGTGAAGAGGCTGAAAGAATGGGAGTAGAGTTGGACCGAAGGCTTTCAAGTGCAAGGGGGAAGGCAGGAGGATGCAAATTGGCAGGAATCAGGAGGGAAGAGATTGTAGGGAAGATGAAGCATTTCTCTAAACAAATAGGGCTTGAAGGGGAGGGGGTGCTGAGGTGGGAAGAGAAGTAAGGGCGACTGAAGGTGGAGAAAGGGGTATGATGAAATAGGTGAAGGAAATGCCCAAGAAAATGAGGTAGTTAATACAGAAGTTGAGGTTAGTAAAACATTGGGTTTATTTTTCTTGGGTGGAGTTTTTGCAAGGAAGGATTTTAAAGAATTGGCAGAGAAGGGTCAGGAGGAGAGTAAGGTGGTTCCGGAAGAGGTGGAGTTTAATGTTAGGGTTGAATATAATCTTGATAGAAAGATGTCACTAGGAGAGAAAGGGACTGGTGACAAAGAGGGGGGGTGAGGTGGTTGCAATCTGGACTTTTAAGAAGAACGCAGTCTTGGTGCTTGAGAAGATCAATGATAGTTTAAAGGGTCCAAAAGATCTGAAAGAGTTTTCTAATACAATAAGACGCTTCAAAAATCAGAGAGATGTTCGAATTGTTCCAATCTCAAAAGTTTTTTCAAGACTGAAAGGAAGTTTATTTGGAGTAGGGCTGATCAAGAAGGTGAAGAAAACAAACAAAGTTTTGAAGAGAAAGAAAGGGGTTCTTATTCATGTCACTGGGGAAGCTGTAAGTTAGAGTAAAGTGGTGGTTAATATGTGAAGAGGAGTGTTGTGTTTGGTGTCTTTGTTTTCTTTTGTGGAGTATATTGGGTTTTGGTTGATTTTGTTATGTTTGTAAAACTTGTCTGGGGCTGTGTTGTGGGGAGGTATATGTTGGCAGTGGTTGATGAAGGGTGTTGTTGAGGTGTTGGAGGATGTTTTGCTGTCTTTTTTCTCTAAGGTGACCTTTAGTCATCTTTCTTGTAATTTCTTTTTTATTTTAATAAATTTTTATTACTTCAAAAAAAAGAGTTAGGCTTTAGACCCATTGAAAATTTAACAAACTCCCAACCCAAATTGCACCCCTAGATTCCCTTGTGTGTCCATGCAAAACTGAAACTGAAACAAAATAGCTATGTAT